AAACTTTGTAAAAAAAAAAAAAAAAAAAAAAAAAAAAAAATCCTCCTTCCCATCACCCAAATTAAATTAGCTGAAAAAACACATTCAAATATAAAAATTATATAAACAAAGATAAAAAAAGACCTCAGTCCCATATTCTGAGAGTTTGTAAATAACTGGACATAGTGTGAGTTACTATGACTCAGTTAAGAATGAATAGGAAGTGATCTACATCACTTCCTCTTCATTCATGATTGTGTTCATAGTAACTTATACTATATCCACAATTTATGAATGAACACTCAGTATAGAGGATTCCTGTTCATTCAGTGCTAGGGCTGCAGAAAAAGATTGAGGACTATAGAACTATAAAAACATTTGCTTCCATGGTTTGTATGTTTTCTGTTACATAATATTGCCAACATGCTTTCCTGAACACATTTATGATGGAAAATATTTTGGGCATATGTGCAGTAACTAAAGTGTTATGGTATAAAACAAGTTTTAAAGACCTGAATATTGAAACTGCTTTCCATTTTATCACACTTTACGTTATAACATTGCTAGGTTCTTCAAACAAATGATTCTGTGATTTTTAGAAGAGCAAGAAGGTGTTTAGACAATGCCGCTAAATGTTTATCCCAACTTTATAGCTCAAACAAACAAAATAGGTAAAGTGACAAACATACCTGACAAGTAGACAAAATGACGAAGCAAGCCAAATAAATCCCATTTAAAAAAAAAAAAAAAAAGTCTTATCATATTGAAAAATTGTTTTAGTTTTCTTCCATTGAAAATAATGAAAAATGCCTACATTAGGATGATGTACATTAATTGTAAAGGTTTGATCGTGTGTGCTATTTTTATCAGCTATATTTTTTCATCAATATATAGTATTTGCTTACGCAACATGTGGATTTATCTAATACACACAAGTAGTATCCAAATTTAATTTAATATTCCCACTAATCTCCATTCGACAAATACATACATAATTGATTATCTGAAGTCAAATCCACTGAGCGTATAGGGTCTTCACTTATGTTCACAGTATCTAGGACTCTGAAAATACAAAATAACTTACTTTCAAAACACAGGTTGGTATAGATAATGTAGGGAAAAAAACCCCTAAAAAAAAGGTACAGGCAACACTTGATAGTACAAAGATATGATTAAGAACCAGATTAGGTTGGATTCATACCTAGGCGACACCTATTACATGTGTATAATAAGTTGCAATGAGCGTTAATGGGGAAAAAACTTGCGCAAAAAAACAAAAACCCACAATGCGTGTTTTTGAAGCGTTTTCTATTGAGTAAATGGGACAAAATGCTTTGAAATCTGCCCCAAAGTAGCTCATGTACTATTTTGAGCGACAGGCATATTTCTGCTTGCGACAAAACTGACAGGTGTAAATGGGTCATAGAAATGAATGGGATTCCTTGGGTAGAGCGTTTTGTCGCGCTGAATCAGCTGCAACAAAATGCTTTAGGTGTGAATGGAGCCTTAAGGCCTAACTAGTAGAGATTCAATTGTGTAATAAAAAAAAATGATCAGTGGATCAACATGAAATGTACCAAAACTTTAAATACAGCACATTATAGTAACTGTGCATTATCACTTGATGAAACTTAATTTGCAGAAATTGTGTTATCTTTTGTCTGCTGGAAAAAAAATTAATTTGAAAGTTTTTAACCTTTCCCTACTTTAATCCCCCCAAAAATGACTTCAGATATACTTCAAACTACAAAATGGCTTGTGTAGCAATGCCTAACAGAAGAATTGTAGTCCAGATTAAAGAAGTATTACCACATCTTAAAACACTTAGAGGAATGCCCGAAAGCACCAAGTGCATGTAGCATGAGCTAGCATGGTCAAGAGCATGTCTGTCCTGACCCCCCCAACTGATGTCCAACTATGCTGCTCACAAAGAGACAAAACATTAGTCAGGTCTGGTTGACGGGGCTTGCCATAAATGAGCGCTGTAATTTAGCAAAGCAGGGGGAGGGGTCAGCACGAATCACAACACAAGCACAAGAGTAAAGGATCGGCTGTCTCCTAGTAAACATACAGAGTTCTCATTTGCCTGGGCTTCCCTTGAGAAACTTCTGCCACAATCAGTGTAGTGCATGTTTACTAGCAGCTGCTTGAATATAATGTGGCAGAAAAGATTGTGTAATTCCAGGAGGTGTGTCCAGGCAACCAAGAATCGGAGAAGTCACCAACACTCCACAAGTGTGAAATAACCAGCTTGGATTTATTCACAAATGCGTCACATGAAATACAGTCCTGATGTTTTGGTGCCGTGCAGGGTCCCTCCCACAGGCTGACATAATGAGTCACTTTGTTACCCTGGGGAAGGGACCCCGCTTGGCACTTTGTAGTTTCTCTGCATGGCATCATCTGTTGCAGGCACTACAAGCACTACTTTATTTTGGTTGTAATGGTTGTGAAGAGTGCGGCTTAGAACACTGCTCGCTCCAGGCAACCGAGGATGCTGAATGTTTACTAGCAGCCAGCTGATTACACAGTTCCGCCAGCACTATTTGTGTCAGAATACTTTGAATAACAGTTTTCCAGTAGCCTCACCTGTTACCCATTACACAGGGGTGACTATGTTAGAACAGCATGTATAATAGTGTTCCAGCAGCCTCGCCGCATCCTCGTTTGCCTGGACACCTATTGGGGAAGTAATACAATTCTGACACAGTACTGTGTAAGGGTAAGTTGGTGACGCTGTTGGAACACTGTCATACAAACTATTCTGACAAGGCAGCCATATTTAGCGGCAGCAGGTAAGGTTGCTGGAACACAGTTCTACAAACTATTGTGACACACTCAGTGCTGTGTAAGGGGCAGCAGGTGAAATGGCTGGAACACTGTGCACAATCTTTCGTGAGCATCTGAGAGGTGGCTATAGTGCATGTGGTATATCACCCATTGGAACACTCAAACTAAGCTTCAGCCTGGCGTGGAACTTCAACTAGTGCAAACAAAAATAAAAATAGGCTTCTAATGCACAATAAGGGCAACAGATCAAAATAAGACCTTGTGCCACATACACTTGGTTCCCTGGGGATTCAATGAGGATTTGTTTATGTTGTGCTGATATTTCTTTAAAAAAAAAAGGCGATAATATGCCACTGCGAAATGAAGTAGTATTTCTATAGACATACTTTTGCAGCTCTTTGACATCAGTGTCATTTTCAGGAAGAATGGTGATGCCTCGTCCATACAATGTCCCTCCATGAAGGTGAAATTCCAGATATGAAGTTTGTGCTTCATTTGAGATGTTATGTAACTTTGCATGTAAATTTTGAATCACAATGTAACTTCCCACCTACATGCGAGTAGAAAAATGTAATGTGCGTTACATACAAATACAGAATGTTAAAAAAAAAATCATTATACAGACCTACACCCAAATAAAGTTAGAATGTTAGACCTACATTTTGTGGGTGGAAATAATCAACACAATTACAAAGATAAACGTATTATACCACTTTGAAGGCATATGTGCATCAGCAAAAAAAGGTCCTCAGCTCTATACCAAAAAGAAACAACTGGCCTATTCTTATTTTCTCTAAACATATGAGCTGCAATGCCAGTTCTTCTTGGATGTGCACCAACACTGTAGCTTTTGGCCCCATATAAACCAGGGGAACAAAGGAAGTGAAGTTGTCCCTTACGTTTAGTTTTTATTGCAAAACATCTTTGCCCTTACTGCCTAGGCACCATTTTAAAATGGCTCCTGAGAAGCCTCGGTGGAGTTGTTATACTGATGTTGGGGTCACCTGTTGTGTCAAGATACAGATATTTTGCAACTGCCTAGTGCTAAAGCATCTCAAGCTCAGGGTAAGAGGCATGGCCTAAGGTGCTCATAAAACCCAGGCATCTGGTAGCAGAAAAGGTTCAAATGGCTGGAAGTGACCAACGTCACTGTAGGCATGCAATAGGAATGGACTGAAGATCAGAGTTCCATATGGCTCTTAAAGCATGAGCAGCAGCAGGGAGATGCTTCTTCGGTGCTGAATGGCTGGAAAGAGAGCATGGAGCATACATTACACCCCACTCGGCCCATGGTGCTATTGATTAGTCCCTCAATGTTAACTGCATTCTCCATAGGAAACATCAAAAACAGATATTTTAAAGGCACCCAGAGATCCAAACTAATGAGGTAGCTCCTGGTGCACAACCCTATCAACCTACCTACAAAGTGAAGTTGTCCTTGACAAAAAAACAAAGTAAGAATGTTAGCCATATAATAGGTTAGTCCATCCTCCTAGAACACCAGCAAAATAAAGAAATACAAAACTGAGACATGCTGGTAGAAAGGCTTTATCCTGTGCTGGCCTATATTTTTTTTTATGCCAATGTCTAATATTGTAGGTGGATATAACGGGAAGGTAAAAGCGTTTGTGTCCCTCAATGAACAAGAAACAATTGTTGGGGGTTTTGGCCTGGGGTATGGATACAGGGCTAGACCAAGGGTTACTGCTACATTTAAGAGAAGGTTGCACCTAGGTTATTATATAAGGGTTGAGACTAAGGTTTTGATGTCAAAGAATACTGTTTTAGGCTAATAAAAAGTAACCTGGTTTAGTTCTTTTATTTTCTCTGTTTTCTTTATTAAATTGTAAATGCAAAAGTGATAACAAAAATGTTCGATCTGTGCTGGAAAACAAGCCAAATATACTCACATGCTGTAAATAGTATGGAAAAAGTTAAAACTAATGCTTTGATCAAAATTACACTTTGCAGTACAGTAAATCTCGTCATTGCCTATGCAGGGCAAAGCTACAGGTTCCCATCAGTCTTTTGCTCACTCCCCCAGTTGGTCTGTTAAACTGCTGGCAGTGAATAAAAAGCCCCAGTGGAGGCTACAGGTTACTTACGTCGTAGCATACACAGGGCTATGGGACCCCTTCTGAAGTGCTGACTGGCGCAGCACTCTCACATGGATGAGTCACATGCTACGCTATTCATTGGCTCCGGATACTGAATGGAGTGGCAGGAGAACAAAGGAAAGGCAAATATATGTTTATGAGGGAGGGGGTTTTGTATCAAACTGGTGCTTTATCCTGAAAGGGTTCATTAAGGCTGTGATAACACTGGTGCCTGGGATTCTCAAGACAAAGGTTTCTCAGTGAAGATTCTCTGTCATCTAATTAGGTATACTCCTGATAGAATCTCAATATGCAAACCCCCCTTCCATCCCATCTGATCTATGGCAGTTAAAGGAGAATTATGGGGAGAGTGAATTGCACTCATCCCCATAATTAGAGCCGACGTGTGACACTGAAGCTGTCGCGTGTCAACTCTATTGATCAGGAACTGAGCAATCACATACCACTTGATCACTCAGTTCCCGATCAGCTCCCTGTAGAGAGTAATGACTGACAGCAGGATTCCCCCCTTCACTCTCCGTTCCTCCAGCGCTGACTGGAGGAACAGAGAAGAGAGAGGGAGAGCACAGCTGATCCTGGATCTAGAGAGGCAGAGGCCAGCTGTGAATCAGGCAGTGGGTTGGATCTGAGCAATATTATCAGGATCCGTCCCAGATGCAGCACAGCTCTGTGCTGCAAGAAAATCTATGGCAAAAAAAAAGGATGGCCATAGTTCTTTTTTAACATCCCTGACCCACATCTATGGCGGTCTACAGGTGTCCTGACAATAGAGAATGACTGGGGGCAGAATGCAGTCTGTTCCATCCGCTTTCTGAGAAGTAATAATTATTAAAAATACCTAAAAAAATATATATAATTAAACTGAGCAGACTTAATAGTTGTATCTTCTAAATTGGTTTAATATTCACTAAATGATTTCATCTGCTGTAATAATCTCAAGTGCACATGGACTCTAATGCAAGGCAAAAAAATAAACAGATACAAAAAAAAAAAAGGTTGTGATGTGTAAATAAGCCGTCAAACCTGTCAGTGAAATGTAAAATTATAAACACGCATCAGATATTGGACTGCTAAAGCAGGGACCCATGTCATTGTACTTCTTAACCTGTAGCAATGGATGATAAAGCTGAACATGTCATCTTTATTCACATGTCACAATGACAAAAGCGGATATAAAGCGCTTTACTGCTCCTAGATTTATGTCTAGTATTCTGTTTGAAAAAAGGAAATGGAAAAATTCCTACAGATCAGTAAATTCATGTTTAGTGGAAATTAAGCCACATAGGGGCAGCAGCATCTCACCAGACAAGAGAATGAAGACTGAAAATTCAGGCGAACATTTTCTTTAAGAAATACACACTTAACTGTTCTTGATTACCTTATCTTTTTATACAAAAGGAAAGAAGTAGGGCACAATTTGGGGATCTTACACCGAGACTCTAGTCAAAACCCTTTTTTAAAGGAGAACTATGAGGGGAGTGCTTTTCACTCTCCTCATAGTTCTAGCCGACCTGTGACAATGAGACTGTCAAAGGTCGGCTCAGTAGATCGGGAGGTGAGCGAACACATACCGGCGTTCGCTCACCTCTCGATCCTGTCATGGCTCTCTGCCGTGACAGGGGAGGGGCTGGATTCCCCCCTCCCCGCTCCGATAGCGCTGACGGGCGGAACGGACGGGGGAGGGGGCGGGGACAGCTGGCTCTGCCTCTAGATAGGCAGAGCCAGCTGTCAGTCACGCAGCTGGGCGGATCCAGACATAATTGTCGGGATCTGCTTCAGCTGCGGCGACTTAGTATACCGCAAGCAGCAGCTAGCGGTATACTGCGGCGTCTCATTATACCGCGAGCTACAGCTCGCGGTATACTGAGCCTAGGGTGACGGGAGGACGCTAGTTTGTGCCCTCCTGTTACCCTAAGGAGAACTATGGGGAAAAGCCTTAACCCCATAGTTCTCCTTTAAAGTCTCAATGTGGTGTGGAATGGGTGGAATCTTTGCTGGGTAGCTATTACAGTCTATGTTGGAAAAAATTCCCATCACTTCTTGTCATGATAAACACATAAAAGTGAAGGCGTTCCCCTTATGGGGACATAGACAGCAATAAAAACCCCGGACAGAGGTTCTAACTCTTCCCAATTCATGGCAAAAGTAAAAAAAAAGTTTTGCCTTCAGTTCCACATTAATAGAGTGCTGCAAGTACATGTAAAATAAAAAATGATTGAGTTACAATGCCACCAACATATGCAGTAGGATATTTTAACTAAAGGTTAGCACGTCACTATCGATCTATCTATAAAAATATTATATAGGGGATAGTTCAATAAGGCAATGCACTGATTAAAAGCTGACCTCTGTTTAATGAAAAGCCATACAGGATATTTTCTGTTCTCTAATGCACTCATGCAGGTGCTATCTTCTTACAGTAATTGCATAAGTATAGCAAACTCCCACCCTTTTTACCACATGATCCCAGAAGGACCAAAATAACAACAAAGGCACCTTTAGAAATGTTCAGTATTGGCAATCTACAAACAGATACTTATAGTTACTTGCAGGCTTTTTAGTCCTTGCATACCTGATTTTTATTTTCTTCCCCAGTCTTCTGACAGTGGCCATTTTCACTTAGGGCAGGTTACTAGATCTCTCTTTACTTCCTGGACCTCTGGCACATGAGACTAGGACATGTAACCTTGCACATAATCTTAGGGCAGGAAAATGCCTTTCCCTAAGATATCATGAGATTACAGATGATTTCCCAACAATGTTCTGCTGATGTAATCTTCCCAGGATGCAAAGCTTGGGTGCAGATTGCATCATTTGTGCCAAAGTGGACTAGGACGTGGGAAAAAAAGAAATTGTAAGTAAAATAAAAATGGTTGTTTGTAATGAATGTAACAAAATACCTGAACAATCTGATTGGATGCAGGCATTGTTCAGGTATGTGGTGAGCCAGCGGGGCCGACTAGCAAGATACTGAAGCTTGGCCCAGTGGGAGATTCCTCCAGCCACACAGTTTAGTGTAGATTATCTATAGGTGTATGGCCAGCTTTAGGATCTTGGAATTCCTGCCAGACAGCACAGCTAAATAAGTGACCTAATCTCCATCTGTAATGCACAGTGGAGGCATGGTGGGTCTATTTAGAACACGGATGTCTCCATAAAGCAGACCTGTTACCACCTGCATACCTTAATGCAGGGGGGGTAATCAGTAATAACATTCAATCAAAAAATTGAAGAAAAAGAAGAAAAATGTAAAATTAAAACTTTTTTTTAAAATCCATAAACTTGCACAGTATACTCACTGAGACATAACCCGCACCTAAACTCGGTTATAATGCATTTATAAACCCCTTTTACTCTATACAAAGAAATTGTTGGGAAATCATTATAGTATAACATCAAATTATGACACAGTAAAGGTTGTTAGTGTAAGGTGCTTAGTAAGTATGTCAGTGAGTATCTTATTTTGGTAGATCTTTTGCAAATATTCAAATAATGTCATACAATGTTTCTGTAATATGTGCAGTACATGAAAAACTGCTAAATTGGATCGGCTGTCTTGCATACAAATAGGATATAAGACATAGTGGAAGCCTAAACAAAGGACTTCTTGGAATTTTAAACAATTCTTTACTAGAGTAGAGAAAAGCTGAAACCCCTGGGATATTTTTCTTTCCGTCTGTACTCATGTGCCAAGATGCATGCTAATTGCAAGAGATCAGGGTGAAAAAGAGATGAGCTCATCGGTGTGCGGTTTCTCTTTTCAGTGTCCAGTCACAGGCTGGGGAGAGCCAAGAGCTGTGTTACTTAACTACAGATACACGCATCCTATGGCAGGTAAAGCAGCTCCTATATATCTATTTTATCTGTGTTTTTAGCCATTTGTCAGATGTTATAATTAAATTCCACTGTCATGTGTGGACCATTTCTTACTTTCTGGTTAAACTCTTAACAGGTGAAGGGGTGCAATAATGCAGTAAAATAAAAGGCAGGGGTATTTTACACTTGTTCATTTATTCTGTTTGCTGCTTATTAATAAAAAGATGTACATTATGCTTATGGTAACTACACAACCCGTACAGTGCTGTAAGCGGTAAATAGGTCCATTTGATTTCCTTCAACATTCATGAAAATGTTGGGTGTATACAAGAGGCACTTTCCAATGTTATGTTAAAAGCAAACATATTTAGAATAGACTTAGAACGTGAAGGGGCAGGTCGTAAACTCAAAAACATATTACAAAATATTTTTAAAGAAAGTGTACTGAAAAATCTAGGTGTTACCTTGAGAGACTTTGCAACTTCCACATGGTTATCATAAACTAAGACATCTACAGTAAGGTCCTGAAGATGACTTAAAAAATCACCATGCCCTTCAAGAGCGGCTTCTTCTACACAAACTTTCCATGTTGGCAAAACAGATTTGCTGCCATCCCATACCTGTAACAAAAAAAGAAAAATTGTTGAAACCAAAATTTACTCGAATAAAACCTGCAGCCAAAACGGATTGCGACAGTGGTCCCCGAGACCAAGAGGAAAATCTCTCCAAATGAACCCCAAAAAGTAAAAAATAAATAAAAACGGTAAGGCTCTAACTCATTCCCAACAAATCCCCCCAAAAATAAGATGAAAAATAAAAATTGGCTGGGGCTTGACCTTAATTCACAACGGGCATATGTATAAAAACTGGAATGTTGCAAATACAGCCCAGTTGCTTACAGAAATTACTTTGATATTATCTTTCATTTTCTAACTTACAATGAAAAAGATAACTAAAATGGCTGGTTGCTATAACACCTCCATTTTACCTGCACCAAAAGTCATAACCACATTTCTAGTTGTGTGTGTTTGTAAGAGAAACCATCAGCAGAACTTGCTCAATTTCTATCTCATATATCATCCTATTTTTGGATTAGTTTACCTAAAAGAGTAACACCATTTAAAATTGTCTTTGAAAGCACAATATTTGTATCAAAGCGATCCTGCAAAATAGTTATTTTTTCCATAGAAACCCATTTTGGATTGTTAGTACGAACTGCAAAATTGTAAAAAGAGCTTATCCAAAAAAATATTTGTTTTCTGTTATAGTCACATTTAAACCAAAACCTGTAATGGCATGAAAAAGGAGACTGTCTTGCAGGACATTTTGTTTCGCAGCACATATGGTAACAAAGATGACCCACTGTGCTAAGATCTCACATCACAAGCCATAAAAGGTACAGTAAAAGTATGCATGACATATTGCAGCATAGGAGAGACTCTGCTATAGCATACTAGTCAAAACCTAGGAAAAAAAACTCTAAAATTAACACACTACTGAAATAGCTTGTATTCATTAGCTTACATTTCTTACAGTTACATGGCTGAACATCATTGTTTATTGGTCATCCGAATAATGTTCTGTTTTATATGTCCCCCAACAAAAAAAAATGCTACAGCCCCGATGCTGGCGACGTACACTGTACGTCGTCAGTCACGAAGGGGTTAATAATAAGTGCATTTGCAATTATAGTTTTCTTTTAGTCCACCTGCAAAGTCCCACAAATACCTGTTAAACTTGCCAGTGAAGTCCACCTAAAGCAGCTTCCTTTGATGGTGTGCCAACATAAGTTGCTACTCTGTTGTAGGCTGTGCCTGCTTAAACTACGGTGGGATGAAAAAAATATTGCAGGGGGGGTGGCCATCAGCATTGTCAGTGCTTATTCTAAAGCCTGTTGCTTGTCAATCAGCACCTGGTCAACTAGTCCCACCTACTGCTTTCTGGATTGGCAGCACTGCCCCTCTGTTAGGGGCATGTCTGATGCTTCTATGCCTGTTGCAACCTCACCGTTCCTCCTAGTTGTTGCTTGCTCCCCGGGCTAATGAACTTGGCCACACACCCTCAGTACCTCTCTGTCAGCTGTGGGCTAATGAGCCTGGTCACACCCCTCAGCATTGGGACTGGTTAGTGGTACTTTATTCAAGCATCACATGCTTGTGATAGTCCTGTCTACACAAGCCTGTATCCTGTCACCCTATATTGATTGATCTTGAATCCTGTTCTTGTCTTGTATATTGCATCCTGTTATTGTATCTTGCTTTCTTTTTCTTGTATCAGAACTACTGCTCTGTACCTAGGGCCCACCTGTGGCATTTATAGTCAAGAGTATATAGTCTAAGCCCTGGGGGCATCCAAATACTGGTAGGCACATTTGCAATACGGGAAAGACAGCTGCAAAAGGTAAAGGTCACTGGCCACTATATACTCTGACTGGAGTATCTGCATCCCGTCCTGACACCGTTAATAAAGCACCCCCTTCCCCGTAAACTGCACTGTCCGGGAGGGGGAGCAGTGAGGAAAGGTAAATGAAGTTACTTGTTCACTATCTATACTATTTTGGTTTTGATAGAATGGGGACACTTTAAACCTCCTTCAATTTTTTTCTGCTATCCAGGGCTCCATTAGAGAGACTGCCCCTCACTTTCTGTTCTCTGGTGACAAACTTTTACCAGACAGGAAGTGAGGGAAAAATCTTCAACAGGTAAACAGGCAACAATAAAAAGTGGTTCTAGCATTTCCCTACTTAACTATTACTTCTGTCTGTGTTGCTGTTAGAGACATTTCCCCTCACTTCCTGGCTTGTGGACAACCATTCAATACAATGCATGAAGTGAATGAATCTCTCCAACGAAGCCTCTGATGACGAAGCCGGAGAGGCTTTAAAAAAAAATAAAAAATAGGTTTTGGGTATAAACGTTAAAGTGTAAATCCAGCCAAAACATCTGGGTAAGGGTTAGAACCCAAGTTACATTCTTATTGCTGTCTACTAAACAGGTGAATAAAATGGTTCACCTATGGTTTAAGCAAAACAGGTTGCAGGCTGTAGCAATCAATTACAACTGGAGTGTCATCATATAAAACCGATACGTGTTACTTGTGTATCTTACACAATATGAAGCCGTTTGGCTTGTGTGTCTAGTGGTTGATCACAACTCTTAGAGTTTATGGTAATTCCTCCAATGAGGACACTTGTTACAGTGACAGCTGTCAAATGTAGTATTTTCCCTCTGGGGACCTCGCAGCAGCTGTCTCTGACAGCGCCAGTCCAGCCCCACATCTCCTCTTTCCTGGCGCCCGCAAGAGAGACAGGCACACCAAGATTGAGAGTCCTGCACGCAGCCCTGGCCTCTATAGCCGGTTGCCATTCTCTATTGCTGAATAATCATGGATTGAGTTACAGTTCTTCAAACTTAAAGAAACTGCCCTAAAATCATTAGCCTGTTTTGTTTTAGAAAAAATTGTCACATGTCCCTTTTAACCAGTTGACATCCGCGGTGTTAAACCCCCTTCCCATCCAGGCCATTTTCAGTATTCAGCGCTGCGGTACTTTGACTGACATTTATTCCGTCATGCAGCGCTGTACTGAAATGAATTTTATACCCTTTTTTGAGGACAGATAGAGCTTTCTTTTGGTGGTATTTATTCACCACTGGGGGTTTTATTTTTTTACTATATTAAGGAAAAATTACCGAAATGTTAAAAAAATGATAAAACATTTATTATTACCCAATTTTTTGGTAAAATATAAAAGATGGGGTCACGTCGGGTAAAAAGACACTAAACAGGTCAAGCCTTAAAATTGCGTGCGCGCGCAAAACCTCAAAAAACGATAATACCCAAAATTGGCCATAGGCGACGCTTTAAAAGCTGTTACCGCTCATCAGTTTAGTGTTATCAGTGATTGATGGCCCTAAAATGATTGCTCTCACTGCGACGTTCGCGGCGATATGTAACATGTGTAGCGCAATTGTAATTTTTGCGCGCTGGGGCACCGGACGCGTATTTACGTTTATAGGCGCGTAAACGTGGGGGTGGGGGAGTTAAACATTTTGGGGTGTTTTTTCCCCTTTTTTTATATGTGACTTATTTTATTTTACTTTTTTATGTGTTACTTTTATTTTTTTTAATTTATATTTATTTTTTTGCAATCCCCTTATATAATAGCAAAGGCACACTGACAGGTCCTCTTTATGGAGACATTAGGGGTCTCTAGGATCCCTAATATCACCTGTGGACCCCAAAAGAAGCTGATGAAGCAGAGATCTGCTTTATCAGCTTCTTCTCTCTGGCTATAGCAGCCAGATGACTGACAGGTGAATGCGGAAGTGATGTAATACACATCACTTCTGCATTCACAGCCCGGACGGAGATCAGCAAGGAGCTGATCTCCCGTCCTCCTCCTCCTGACGCCCTCGGAGCCGGTCCCGGGATCCAAGATGTGGCAGCGGATCCCGGGAATCAAGGTGAGGGGTCAGGGGGGGAAAAAGCACATATAGGCGAGGGGTCAGGCCAGGAACGAGCACATATAGGCGATCGGCGGGCTATGGACCCGCTGATCGCCTATATGTGAAACACCCGGTAACGGGTGTGTGCAACGGTCGGGTCTTTTCTGCCCGTGCGTGCCCGCTAGGGGGCGCGCGCGAGCAGAAAAAAATTGCCGTCTGGAGACGGCAACCCGCCAATGCAGCAGTGCCGTCCGTCCGTTTTTTTACTACGGGCGGACGGCAAGAGGTTAAGAAAAAGTGTGGTTAATTGGTATCGGCAAGTACCTGAGGGAAAGTAATTGCACTTGAAAAAATGGTATCGGGACATCCCTAGTTTAAATAATTTAATTAAACATCAAAATTGGCCTTTTATAGAACAGTTGGTCAGTAATAAAACACTTCCAAGGACAAACTTTTAAAACCTGGGCTATGCACATCTACTAGAGATTTTAAAGGGTAATTCCACTTTCCCAAGCAAATTTGGGAAAATGGAGTTACCCCCTCCAATCTGGCCACCTCTCCTCCCCATACTCACGTTTGGCCAAACGATCGCTCTCCTGGTTCCCCCACTGGCTCCTTCCTCCACCAGTGCACTATTCATATCAAGCCTGCTCTCTGTGTTTTGAATTTTGATCGCAAGTGGCAAGCACTCACTGGTCAGCGCGGTGAACAATGCGAACCGATTCTTAGCAAGAAGCAGTTCTCATTGGTCAGGTGTCAGGTCAGTGCTCACCATTTGCGAGTGAAATCCAAAATACAGATCGCAGGGCTGCACTGCCATGTACGTGGCATGGATAGTACACTGGCATAGGGGAAGGAGCGTTAGGCCAAAGGTAAGTATAGCAGGCGGAAGAGGGGGCCAGATTTGAGGGAGTAATTCCCAAATTCACCTGGGCAAGGGGAATTAACCTATAAAGCGAAGTATAAGGCCCGTCTTTTCTGGGAATCCCTTTATTGTTGATTTAGTTCCACAAAGTGTTAAGTGTTTTATTCATATAAGATGGTGAAAGGATATTTACAAATACAAATCTTACCATCAAAAACTCATATGACTAAGCCCTCGTTCACACCTGAACGTTTTGTAGCGCGTTCTAAGCTCGACGAACGCCCTACAAAACGCTCAAAAATATAAATCCCATTGTATTCAATGGTCTCGTTCCCACCTTGGCGTATTTCCGCCCGTCCCTAACGCGCTACAAAACGGCCCACGCCTGAAAAAGGTACAGGTACTACTTTGGGCTGGGTTGTTGCGCGTTTCCATTGGGATAGAGCCAAGTAGCCTTCGGGGTCACGCAACTTGTTTACCGCGAATCGCGGTGACGGACGCGCATATGCAATACGCCTAGGTGTGAACGAGACCTAAGAGGCACACAGCAGGCAAGACCCACTCCCTATAATCACATATATTTACATGAACAGATGACTTTGTAATGAGGAACAAAAGGAGCAGCCTTCTCCAAGAGAAAATGTACAAAAAATGTGCACAGGTCTGTAGTACCAACAACATACCAATCACCATATTAGAATGGAGATCTAATCCTTATGTTTTTTTTTTAAATACACATCTCTGTGGTAAGTGCACTCCAAGTAACCCAGATAATGTATTTCAGAGCAAAAAAATACATACCGTGTTTCCCCCGAAAATAAGACACCGTCTTATTTTATTTTTTTTCATGAAAATGGATTTCTGTAATATAACTAGGTCTTATTTTCGGGGTAGGTCTTATATTACAGAAATCCCTGAAGATAGTGCTAGGTCTTACTTTCGGGGAAACACGGTACATATACAACGTTCTATTATGTAAAAGCAGTGCATCCATCTGTCCATACATCATCTCACCTTTTCTAAGCAAATGTTTATTGCACAGTCTCTTTGTCACAAGCATTATTGAAAAAACTAAAGAATTACATAATAGACAACCACGTGGTATAGTCTCAGGTACAGCAGAACACTGTCTTTGGGGGTATTTAGGCTCTGAAACTAACAGATAATCTGTTGTATACATGTATATTAGAAAAACTAATGCAAACAAAAGTGTGTAATTCAGTTTACCTTAAGAAGATATGATGCTTTATCCAACTCCGCTTTACCAACAAGATGACATAATAAATTAAAATACTGCTCAGGCTGTATGTCCGAAAGCTTTAGTCTTGATTTAGAAAAGATCTGCTTCCCCACTTGCCAGACTCGTAAGGATTCTACAATTTGGTGGTCTTCTTCAGTGAAGCTGTGCGTTTTGCTAGATGTTCTTGGCAACATTGGAGCTCCTACTGAGCCTTCAAAAACTAAAGCTGAAAATCCATTACTGCTGATACCTCTAAATTCACTGTTGAATTGTGTAATCTAAAGAAAACAAAAAGGGGGGAAATCATCTACTGCCAGACAACCAAAAAGAGAATCAATTTACCAAATGTAATACACAGATGTTAATGTGGTAAATAAACAAAAGTCAAAAAGGTTAAAGTAACAGATACAAGTTCTAAATAATTGTACATATATAGAAGAAAAACAACATTCTGCAGGATAGTTTCACAGCCAGACAACTTGAAACAGAACATCAACTACCAAGTAAAAAATAAATAATGGAAACATTAAGCACAATACACAACTAGCTAGTTCACTCTGTGCAGCTACTTACACAGCCGATTTTCCTTTCCCTGGCACAGCCATCTTTTAAACATATCTTGAAAACAACACGCAGACAACTGCAGAGTGGATTCTCTAGTGTTGCTTGCAGTGATTTGCACATAACTATTCTTTGCAGCATCTTCTTGTCTGCAAATACGTGACTCAGAGTAGTCACTCTAGAATAGGTGTGCTAGTTAAAAAGAGAAGAAGTCAAACTACTTCTTAGGTCACAGAAGTAGATTTACTGACCCAAAGTCAACATATAGCGGGATACTGTCCGTTATATACCGACAGCGCTTAGGTGCGCTGTTGTCAGGAAAGGTTACCTGTGCCCACCCCCTCCCATCTGTCTCTCCAATGACGCTGGAGCAATAGAGACAGGAGAGGGAATCCCTGCAGGCAGCGATGACTAACAGCGATTGACAGCTCTTGGTATATAGAGCCACCATATGACAGCTCCATTGTCCCACATTGTCTCTAAATATTGGAAAAAAGTGCATTTTACAAAATGTATATATAAAGCCAGAACTCCCCCGAACGACTCCAACCATTTTAAAAGCGAATTTCAGCCAGTTCATCAAGAATAGGCCGAAATTCACTCCATGTATTGCCAGCTTTAGATAGTTGTCAACAGAACAAGCTTCCTCTTGGAAAATGTCCCCCCTATTAATTTTCTGGTGACAAGTGAACGTTTCCACCACTTTCACTCACAGTGGCAATTGTCACAAGTGCTAATGGATGAATCTCAGGGACACAGACAATAATTAAAACCTGACAGGGGTACCTATTCTTCCTTGCTTTATCCAAAACAAAAAAAAAAGGTTTTACTTTAACTCTTTAGTATCTGTTTACTATTGTCAGAAGAAAAGTTTGTTTTCTTCACTTTAAACTGCCTATCAGTTTGCCTGCCAAAGTGACTTTTGTTTTATAGCTTTAATGATCATTCAGAAAACAGCTTTCCTCACTGGGGACTTCTGCCAAAACTATCACTGAAGCTATTAAAAAAAAACAAAAAAACAGTTTGGCAGACAAAACTACTGGTAAGTAGTATAAAGTGTAAAAGAAAGAAAATAAAACCCTTGTTTTTGCTTCATTGTTTACACAATGAGACAGATCCCTAAGGTCCGATAGGGAGAAGGTTCCCAGGTCTGCTGTGACTTCTCACAAAAGCAAACCCCGAACAGTAAACCTAGAGTGATTCCCCCACATTTCATAACTTGTATACAATCCTTAATTACAAATAAACATTTACTATAGGCTGCTTTTATACCAGTTGTTAAATAGGAAATAATTATTTTGGGTCAATTTTATTTTTACTTTTAAGTTTTTAAACTTGTTATACTACATATATACAATTTCTGTATTACAAATAAACATATAATACTTTGATATATAAAACTATATAATAATAGGCTTCACAGAGCATGATTGGTTATCCAAAGAGACAATACATTAGAAGAAGTCTGCTTCCTGGCATTGTTTCCGACTCATCACAAACTCTCAAAACAAGTCAATTAGTTACATCAGACATTTCAGAGCTCTGTAACAGCCCTTTCCTCAGGCAAAAGTGACTAAATAAAGCTTTATTTTGAGACTTCATGATGTGCTGGTTTTGTTTTACCTATGGACTTATGGATGATTTCACCAACCACTGAAGGTCAATACAGCACTCATTGCATGCCAAGCATACACTATTTTGTCAAACCTATTGGGACACCCCTTCAAATCATTGGATTCAGGAGTTCCAATCACCTCCATGGCCACAGGTGTATACAATCAAGCACCTAGGCATGCAGACTGCTTCTACAAACATTTATGAAATAATGGGTCGCTCTCAGCTCAGTGAATTCAAGCGTGGTACCGTGATAGGTTGCCACCTGTGCAATAAGTCCATCCGTGAAATTTCCTTGCTACTAAATATTGCACAGTCAACTGTTAGTGGTATTATAACAAAGTGGAAGCAACTGGGAACAACAGCAACTCAGCCATGAAGTGGTAGGCCATGTAAAATGACAGAGCGGGGTCAGCACATGCTGAAATGCACAGTGTGCAGAAGTCCCCAACTGTCTGGAAAGTCAAAAGCTACAGGTCACTTCCAGGGGCTGGTAAAGAGTGCTCTCCAAACTGACACCTCCTCCCCCCCCCCCCGGGGGCCCGCTCGCCCTCTGTCGG